TCCTATTTCCTCAAATATACCATTTATCATAATATTGAAAAGTACCGGACTGCAAACGCTACCTTGAGGAGTTTTGTTATCTATTATGTAGGTATCAGATTATTCTTTACCTACTCTTACCTGTATTTTCCGCTCTTTTAGGAAATCCATAATCCAATTAAACAACATTCCATTAATGCCCATTTGACCTAATTTTATTAACATTCCTTCCTTCCATACCATGTCATAAGCTTTCTCGATATCGAAAAATACTCCTAGGACCATTTCTTTTTTCACTTTAGCTTTCCTGATTTCATTTTCTAAGCAAATTACTGCATCTATGGTACTACGTCCTTTCCTGAACCGACGCTGATATGCATTTAATAACTTTCTAGTTTCCAAAACATATAATAAACGCGATATAACCATTCTTTCCATTATTTTACACAGGTTAGATGTTAAAGCTATTGGTCTATAATTTGTTGGAACAGTATGATCTTTCCCAGGTTTAGCGAATGGCACCACTATACCTAATTTCCACAAGCTAGGAAGTCTCCCTTGCCTCCATATTTCATTATAAAGTCTTAAAATAACATTAATTCCGTTATCTGAAAGATGTTTAATCATTTCATAACATACTTCATCTTTTCCCGGTGACGTATGTTTACCTCCTTCCAAGGCCTGCTTGAGTTCATATAATGTAAAAAACAGCATCCATAGTGCCTTCTGATAATCCTTTTTGTGCTAACATTTTTTGATTATCTTTTCTCTCTTAATTCCCTCATATCATCTGATATATTGCTATTAATATGCACCTTTACAAATGCTTCTGCCAACACCTCAGCCTTTTCTTTATTATTAATAATTTGATTATTTCCACTTATTAAAACAGGAATTATATTAGATTTTTGTATTCCCCCCATTTTCTTAATCATTCCCCATATCTCGCTAATATCTATATTTTTACCTATTTTGTCACAGTATTCTTTTCAGTACTTTCTTTTAGCACGTATTACTTTCCTTACTACAGCCTGTACTGTGCTGTGCTGTGTTATACAATATAAAAACATCAAATGAATATGATTTCCTTACTTTCTTTAAAAACTTATTCCTTATTTTAATTACCTCACTGCACTCAACAGTCCACCAAGGTACACTTTTCTTCTTTATTTTCCCTACACTTTTTCCTATTACTTTCCCTGTAACTTACAAAGACTTTCACAGATTGTATTGTTATACTGCCCTACATCTTCTATTAAACAACTTAAGTTCAGTAAATTCTGTTCACATTCTTCTTGAAATGGGTCCCAATCCGCTGATTTAAATTTCCATCTAGGGATCATTCCAATATCTATTTTAGAGATCAATTTTAGACCAATTTTACAATTAATAGGAAAATGATCACTACCCATCATGTTTTGATCAATTATGTTCCACATACTTATTTTAGCTAGATTTTCTGTCATAATTGTTAAATCTAAAACTGAATATTTCATTTTGGATACATCCAACCTAGTAGCACTTCCATCTTTTATACATGCCAGATTATTTGTTTCCAAAAATTCCTCCACTTCTCTTCCGTTATTATCTGTTTGTATGCTACCCCATAATGTATTGTGCGCGTTAAAGTCTCCACACCACACCTGATTAGACTTATGTTGTCCCCCTATTTTAGACAAAGCTTCATTATTTAGTATTTTACAAGGATTGTAAAAATTTATTATTCTAATTTTTTGTGTTCCTGTCCAAACTTCTACTACTATTGATTCGCATTCTTCCTCCACATCAACTTTCTTATATGCTACCTCAGATTTTATAAACGTTATCACTCCACCACCAGTACCAATTTCCCTATCCCTTCTAACTACTGAGTATCCTTTTAACACAAAGTTTAAATGTGGCTTAAGCCATGACTCTTGAATACAAATTACATGAGGTTTATCATTAATATCTGCGATGAATTTCTTAAATTATTGACCATTTGAAATCAAACTCTAGCATTCCATTGAAGAATTGCTAACACCATTAAGATCCACCACCTGTTGTCTGAGAATTTGTTACCTTTACCTTTAATTTCTAATTTATTTGATCCACCTTTACTTCTTCTACATTTAAGTATTTTCCAGCTACCCTCAGAATTATTCAGATTTTTTCCGTACGGCTTTCTGTTTGCGCTGAACAATTGATCACTTCTGCTATAAATGCAGTAAAGGACGTCTTATCAACCAACAAGGTATTTTCGTTTATTTTACTACTGTTTACATGTTATACAACCCCTACCAAGGGATCTTCCACCGGGACTGTTTTCAGTACACGTCTTTGTGCTTTTCTGGACTCGCTTTAACGCATCCGCATATGAAATTCCTTCAAACACTCTTAAACATTGAACTTTCTCAGCATCTTTTCTTACCTTACAACCCCCATAACCTGCACTATGATTACTTCCACAGTTGCAGCATTTTGGAAGAATTCCATGTCCACATTTCCCGTATTCGAGCTCACCTCAACACCTTGCACAGCATTGTTTTCCCTTGCAACTTTCAGCAATATGACGAAATCTCTGACACAAGCATCTAACTGGCGGTGGTACATATGGCCGAACTCTGTAACTTACATAACTAATATACACTTTATCAGGTAACTTTTCCTCATCAAACTGAATCATAACTGACAAACTATCCGCCTTTTGTTTATCTTTTACATATTTCAGTCTCCTCACATCAATCACCCCTGCCCCTGACAGGTTTTTCTTAATTGATTCAATTGACATATCTGTCGAAACCCCTGAAATCACTCCTTTTACCCATTTCTTATCTTCCATCACGGTACAAGATACTTTTATTCCTAGTAATGTTTTTAGTTCCACAGCTGCTTTTTGTTGATTCTTGTCTTTACCAAACAGCAGAAGTCTACCATCTCTTGTCATTTTTGCACTTACAATTTTTCCAATCGCTTCTTTCAATGCCTTAGTTATTTTAATTGGGTTTAACATCTTTGTGGATTCTGTCAAAAATGTTAGCATTACCTTGAATTCTACTTTTGGTCTTCTAATCTGCTGTCGATCTTTTTCGTTTTCTGAACCAGATGTTTGATACCACGTTTTCTTTATTTTGGGGTTTTCCACTAATTTCCAATTACTTGCCGAACTTTATAATCCCTCGCCATAGCTGACTTCTTCATACTATCTACCTGAATAAATAGTCTAAATAATAGCTTAGCGCCCCTAATGGCGAGGCAGAACATAATATCTGAATGTAACAGAATCAGTTCGGTTACAACGCTTAGGGCTAATTATGTGAACAGATGGGTGATCACGCCAGGTATGAAGACGAGACATAGGAGAAATAGGAGGGAATGAAAAGGTGGGAGCACAACACTTCAGCCTGCTGTCATCAGATATTAAAGTATTTTGCTTGTGTGTATTTGTTATATAAGGCATATTTATAAGGCATATTTGTATTTTTTGTTCCTATGATTGTAATCTTTGACTAAATGTATTATGTTTTACTCCACTATATTCTAACTATATTCTACAAAATCTAATATTAAATCAAGCTCTTCTCAGCAAGCACAACATATTTTGAAAGCGTCTCACAAAGTACATATATGAATCAGTACATATCATATTAATAAGTCATTTGAAAAGTTTTGGGTATCGCTGGACTAAGTCTTCTAAGGTAAATGAATATGCTGTATTAGATATATTGGGTAGATATTAGATATTGTGTGAGTGTTTTTGAAAGTGACCTTGTACCATGCTGTGAGGGTACAACCAGGCATCGCTCATTCACTGACTGCAGGGAACAGGAGGGAGTTTAAGGATGAACAAGAGTCTTTTGGTAAGGTCTTGTAAATGCATTCTTGCATTCAAAAACAGCTAGATGAGCTCAAGAATGGTACAGAAAACAAGGGCCTTAAGGCACTTTTTCTAAAGATTAACTGTTGGTAATCTTCATACTAATTTATTTTGAAATCATGGTGCTCATGTGGTGAAATGCATGAAAATACATTGAGATGTGACTCAGTGCCAAAGACTGCAATCTGCAAGTGTACACAGAACAAAAAGATGGGCCTCTGTGTGAATGGATGGATATATTTACACCACAGATGTGTACTGGTGCACATGCTTAAATTGTGGTGTGGTAGTCATGTTTTTTTTTTTTTTTTGTTTCAACTATTTAAATGACCAGCCATTGTCAAGGGACAAAATAACTAATAATAAAAAAAAAATCCATTAGGCTGGGCTAAAATGAGTTTCTGCTATTCAATAAGAGAATGATCACTAATCAACCCAAGAGTCCCTGTAGGCCCGTCCTGTTTGAATAAACACTCATTACCGCTATCATGTTTGTGATTTGCTCATTCTTTTCTACTGATTCATATGATTGTGACCACCTCATTCAACAGCAAATTAAACAAGCAATATTCGTCTCTTGTAGGTTGTCGGTCATCTCTGGCGGATGGCTCAACGTCATTAGACAGGCACTGATGGAGCGACCAAATCACCTTACCTAATCTGATGAAATCTCACACAGTTTAGTCAGAAGAGCAATTTAAATGAGTCAAATGAGGGGAAAGAGTGAACAAAAGTATTACAGAATAAAAAAATAAAAAAAGACAGTGAGACAATGACCCTACATTGGAAGTCCATTTAATGTTTTAAAATCATTTCAGGTTATTTCTTAATCTGAGCACAGATGCTGTGCTCCTCTAGAAGAGATAAGATACGTGAATTATCAGGATAGCTGCCTAGTTGACTGGTTGGTGAGATTCTAAAGGAAATGAATTTAGACACACAATTGTTAGCTGCCAGCATGCTAGAGTTGTAAATACACTGAATGAAAACTGATTTAAAAACATTTTAGATAAAAAAATAAAATAAAAGTGCACATGACTTAGGGCAATTATGAAGAATTAAGAATTTATTCCCATGACTTATTAATTTGTGGCCATGTTTTATTAATGTGTCACATGGTTTAATTAAATTGAGGCCATATGTGATATTTGTTCCCTTATTTCAGGTAAATCCATGACACACGAAAAAGGTGGGGGGAGCAAATTAGTCTACCAGAGGTACGTATTTTTATGAGACCAGGTTGAAATTAGTACAATGTGACCATGATTTCTGTAAAATGTACATATAAAGTTTCAGAAAATAATTTTGTTGGTTTTTGTTGTTTGTTTTCTTCCTTTTTTTCTTTCTTATTTCCCTGCAATGTCGGACATCCATACAAAAAAATAAAAATAAAATAATAATAATAAATAAATACAAAAATAAAGATGCAATTTGTATTTTTGTATATCTATTAATGGTCAGTATGACAGCCTTCTCTGATACTGACAACTAGTTACATGGATTAAAAAAGTGTTCAGCTTCTCATGGTATTGTAGAATTGTTTTAAGAGAAGAAATTACTGTGTGAACCTTTATACAAGTGTTTACAACAAGACTGCATGTTTAATGCAATTTCTAAACAGTTGTGCTTGCATTTACATAATTAGTAGAGCACATTTCAGGGGTGTATTCCAGAAAGCACGGTTAACAAACCGTCAGCTAAACCCTGAACTTTCGGTTGATTAACCCCAAACCTTGCTTACTCGAGGTATGTGGTTCCAAAAACGCATCCGGGAGTAAGTTCATTCAACTCAGAGTATGTTCCTGGTTAAGACTCAGGACATTCTCAACAGAGCGACGAATCGACGAGTCACTATGGAAACGGACGCTAAGAAAAAGCATGCCATGCTGATTCTTTCTTCTTCTTTTGTTCAATGGTCGTTTACATGCTTAGTGCATATCGCCACCTAATTGATGGTTGTGCAATCATTTTAATTTTTTTCCGTTTAATCTTTAATCCTTGAGAATATGAATTATATTGTTTGTTTGATGCTAATTATATATTAAGTCATATCAGATAT